AAAGATTTAAATCTAACACACAAAATGATAAAAATCCTAGAAGAAAGTGTGAGAAAAACTCCAGATGGTATCAGCTTGGGAAAGATTTTATGAGGAAGACTCCATTGGCAATGGCAACAAAAAATAAGTAAATGGGACTTAATTAAGCTAAAAATCTTCTGCACAGGGAAGGACATAATTACAGATAACAAAGACACACAAACAGATAACCTTCAAAATGTGAAAATATATTTGCATGTAACAAATCTAACAAAGGGTTGATAACTAGAATCTACAGAAAATTCAAATTAATGAATAGAAAAAGAGCAAACTATCCCATCTGTCACTAGGTAAGAGACATGAACAGAAACTTCTCCAAAGACGACAAATGGCCAACATGTGAAAAAATGTTCATGATCCCTAATCATCAGAGAAATGCAAATCAAAACCATCCTGAGATATCACCTAACTCCAGAGAGATTCGTCCACATCACAAAGTCCCAAATCTGCAGATGCTGGCATGAATGTAGAGAGAAGGGAACACTTTTGCACTGCTGGTGGGATTGCAAACTAATATAACCCCTACGGAAAAAAAATATAGAGAATTCTCAAAGAAATAAAAGTTGACCTTCCAATTGATTCTGCAACCCCATTAGTAGGTATCTACCCAGGCTCAGTGAGTAGGGCACTGGCCCCATATACCGAGAGTGGTGGGTTCAAACCTGGCCCCAGCCAACTAGGAATATAATGGAACAACTTTACTCTGATGAAGTTTATCTACATAATAAAAGTAAACATCCTTAAAAATTTCCCTTTTCTGGAATACTTTTATACTGCTGGTGGGACTGCAAACTAATACAATCCCTTTTTGGAAGTATGGAGAACCCTCCGAGAACTCAAGCTAGACCTCCCATTTGATCCTGCAATCCCATTACTGGGCATCTACCCAGAAGGAAAAAAATCCTTTTATTATCAGGACACTTGCCCTAGACTGTTTACTGCAGCTCAATTTACAATTGCCAAAATGTGGAAACAGCCTAAATGCCCACCAACCCAGGAATGGATTAACAAGCTGTGGTATATGTATACCATGGAATACTATTCAGCCATTAAAAAAATGTTCTTCTGAGCAAAGTATCACAAGAATGGAAGAAAAAGTATTCAATGTACACACTGCTATTATGAAATTAATTTATACCTTTTATATGAAAGCTATAACCTAATAACAGCCTAAGAATACAGAGAGGGGGGAGGGAGAGGGGAGGGGGGAATGGGTGGAGGGAGGAGGATTGGAGGGATCACTTCTAAGGTTTATCTTACAAGGGTACAAGTGAACCTTTCTAAGAGTAGAATATGAACGTTTTGGCACAATAACTAGGTAAATGACATGAAGGCTATGTTAACCAGTTTGATGAAATGTTTCAAATTGTATGTGAAAACACCACACTGTACCTCAGAAGTGCATTAATGTACATGGTTACATTCAACAAAAAAAATAAAAATAAAAAAATGGACATTTTACAGCCTTGGTATTAACATGGATGCAAGTGGAACACATTATTCTTAGTAAAGCATCACAAGAACAGAAAAGCATGAATCCTGTGTACTCAATTTTGACATGAGGACAATTAATGACACGGTGGGGTAGAGGAAGGGGAGAAGAGAGAGAGAGGAGGGAGGGGTGGGGAAGGGAATAGCAGAGAGAGGGAAGGAGGGAGGGGGTGGGGTCTTGGTGTGTGCCACACCTTTTGGGGGCAGGACATGATTGTAAGAGGGACTTTACCTAACAAATGCAATCAGTGAAACCTGGTTTCTTGTACCCTCAATGAATCCCCAGCAATAAATTAAAAAAAAAAAAAAGGTGGACTCTGTTCCTAGCTGGGGTATGGAAGACTCATGTGCTTTAGGACCAAGCCATAAACTTATAAAGTCGAAATTAAGAAGCTAACTCAGTGCCTGTGGCTCAAAGGAGTAGGATGCTGACCCCATATGCCAGAGGTGGTGGGTTCAAGCCCAGCCCTGGGCTTGACTCCCCCCTCAAAAAAAAAAGGAGCTAACTCAAAATTTTGCCCAGTCTTGCTGAGATGACTTACATATGAGGTTAGGATTGAGGGGCAGTGGTGAGAAGTGGGTAGGAGGAGTATAGATGATTTAGCAGTCACCCTGAGCAGATGAGTTTTAGACCTGTGTTATGGGTATGTGGTTTCATTGAACTGTTCTCTTTACTTTCATGTGTGTTTAAAATTTTCTGTAATAAAAAATGAGGAAGATATAAAAAAAATTTCCCTTTTCTGATCAAGGATGTCCACTATCACCAGTTCTAGGCAACACTGCAGTGGGTCTGCTCTAAGTCATTAATTAGAAATGGAAAGGTGTTTAAAATGAAACATTATAAAAGGTGTCCATGTAACAAAAACATTCATACCCCCTTAATATTTTGAAATAAAAGTGTTTAGGCTCAGTGCCCGTAGCACAGTGGTTACGGCACCAGCCACATACACTGAGGCTGGCAGATTTGAACCTGGCCTGGGCCAGCCAAACACCAATAACAAATGCAACAAAAAATAGATGGGGGTTGTAGCAGGCACCTGTAGTCCCAGCTACTTGGGAAGCTGAGGCAAGAGAATCCCTTAAGCCCAAGAGTTGGAGGTTGCTGTGAGCTGTGATGCCGTATCACTCTATTGAGGACAACATAGTGAGACTCTCTCTCAAAAAAAAAAGTGTTTAAAATGGTGAAACAAAATTGTTCTTATTCAAAGATATGTCTGTATATGCTGAAATTTGAAAAGAAAAATAGAGAAAATTGGGCCAGGCTCTGTGGCTCATACCTGTGATCCCAGCAGGCAGGAAGCAGAAGCAGGTGGACTGCCTGAGCTCACAGGTTCAGACAAGCCTGAGCAAGAGCAAAGACCTCATCTTTAAAAATAGCCAGGCGTTGTGGCAGATGCCTGTAATCCCAGCTACTTGGGAGGCTGAGGCAAGAGAATCACTTGAGCCCAAGAGCTTGAGGTTGCTGAGAGCTATGATACCATGACACTCTACCAAGGGCAACAAAGTGAGATTCTGTCTCAAAAAAAAAAAAAAAAGGAACAAAAAAAAATTGAAAAGGATATAGCAACAAACTTTTAGATTTATTAAGTATATTTAGCAAGATACCTGGATAGAAAACCAATATATAAAAATGTCTCTATATACCAACTCGAACAGAATTTAAGATTTCAAAAATATACATATTTCTTTTTCTGTTTTTTGAGACAGAGCCTCAAGCTGTCACCCTGGGTAGAGTGCCGTAGCATCACAGCTCACAGCAACCTCCAACTCCTGGGCTCAAGCAATTCTCCTGCCTCCGCCTCCCAAGTAGCTGGGACCACAGGCGCCTGCCACAACGCCCAGCTATATTTTGGTTGTAGTCGTCATTGTTGTTTGGCGGGCCCAGGCTGGATTCAAACCCACCAGCTCAGGTGTATGTGGCTGGCACCTTAGCCGCTTGAGTCACAGGTGCCAAGCCAAAAATATACATATTTCAAAGCATCAAATACCTGGGAATAATGTAACAAAAGATGCAAGACTTCTTTGGGAAAAACTGTGAAATTTTATTGAAATAGTTTTAATAAATTTCCAATGTAAGAACAGTCTGCATTCATCATTTCAGTTTGTCTTCAGTTTGTCTTCATTTTAAGTCTATGGTTGCCCTTCACCTATAAAACAAAACATGGTTGAAAACATTACTTAGTAGACAGAACTTTATTCTGATAATACTAAAGAAATACAAAGGATCTGAATAACAGGCATTCGGGTTTCCACACAGAATAACAAACATCAGGAGGGGTGAGGTGGTTCATGCCTATAATCCTAGAACTCTGGGAAGCTGAGGCTGGTGGATGGCCTGAACTCAGGAGTTCAAGACCAGCCTCAGCTAGAGTGAAACCCCCATCTCTAAAAACAGCCAGGCTATTAGCAGCTACTTAGGAGGCTGAGGCAAGAGGATCACTTGAACCCAAGAATTTGAGGTTGCTATGGGCTATGATGCCACAGCACTCTACTGAGGATGACAACATGAGACTCTGTCTCAAAAAAAAAGTTGGTGGCACCTGTAGCTCAGTGGAGAGAGCACCGGCCACATACACCAAGGTTGGTGGGTTCAAATCCAGCCCGGGCCAGCTAAAACAACAATGACAACTGCAAGAAAAAAATAGCCAGGCACTGTGGCTGGTGCATGTAGTCCCAGCTACTTGGAAGGCTGAGGCAAGAAAATCACTTAAGCCCAAGAGTTTGAGGTTGCTGTGAGCTGTGACACCATAGCACTCTACCCAGGACAATTGAGACTCTGTCTCAAAAACAAACAAACAAACAAAAAAAAACAGAGTGTTTTCTCATTTTCTTAGTGGCAATGAAATCTGCTGAAATCTACATCTGAATCTACAAATTCAGATGTTGTAATGTGACTAGGGCCAGCATCTGATAATTTATGATAAACCAATCATGCAAAACAGAAGATCTCTGTATCCTATATGTTATACTCAACAAAACCAAGAGTATGAAAAACTGAGAACTGAAAATGATTTTAGAATATTTGACTTTAACTATTTTTTAAGAGAAAAGACAGGTTTAGAAGGGATTCACCTAGACTCTCTCACAAATTATGTAAAAGCTGATATTAGAACTTACTTTAGTGCTTCAGCATATTTTATGCAAACTGATACATGTTACAAATGTATTATGGATTTGTTAAATGCAAACCTTTATAAAAAATCTGAGAATTATTAGCTATTTGTTCAAGGACTTATACTCAAAAATAATAATATGCTTTCATACTTTATAATTCAACCTGGCTTTTGTTCAATTTATTTCTGTCCCTGATAGTCTATAAGTCAGGCATTTGGGGTCTTAACTACATTTCAAATAATCTTTATACATAAACTCTATTATTAAAATAGTAGTAATATTACCTCTGTTTCACTAAAAACACAATATTGTGGAAGAAGACACTCTAGAATTTACATGCTTAATGAATTACCTACCTGCTTCCAGTTGTTTAATGTGCTCGGGACTCAGAGGCTGCTTTCCCTTGACATCAGGACCATCTCCACGCTCATGCCCAGTCTTGGGCTCAACTAGTTCCTGGATGGCAGGTTGCGGCTCAGGCCCTTACAAATAAAAATATTATCAATTTAAGCAATAAAACATGAAATATGAATAAACAGTATTCATGCCCTCGATGTCATTAAAGCCACAGGCTAGTATGGTAATAAAGGTATTGCATAAGAATCTCAAGAACACTATTTCAGGAGTCTATTGTCAGAAAACCGGAAAGCAGTGTTTTCCAAATATTACTTACTCTTCCTTTCCCAAGACTACCTTCAGACAACTTTGTTGCCCCCTTTGCACTTAACTTATTGTACCTGTAATTGTCCTTGTCACATTAAATGACTTATCTGCTTAAGTCTCTCCAACTCCAGACTAAAATCCTGTCTCTCATTAGCACTAAGACTCCTAGCACCTAGAATGCTAAGTATGCTAATACTAATGGCTTAAGCAAGCACCAATAAATGCATAGTGAAAAAATCTTTTAAGAATAAAACTGGTCTGGGCTCAGCACCTATAGTTCAAGTGGCTAAGGCACCAGCCACATACACGAGAGCTGGCGGGTTTGAATCCAGCCTGGGCCTGCCAAACAACAATGACAACTACAACCAAAAAATAGTTGGGTGTTGTGGCAGGCGCCTATAGTCCCAGCTACTTGGGAGGCTGAGGCAAGAGAATCACTTAAGCCCAGGAGTTGGAGGAAGCTGGGAGCTATGATGCCACGGCACACGGCACTTTACCCAGGGTGACAGCTTGAGGCTCTGTCTCAAAAGTTAAAAAAAAAAAAAGAGCAGTTGCAATGTTGGGAGCGAGGTAGGGAAATTTATCCTCTTAGGGGAGGGCAGGCTAGAGGTGTTATGTAAGGCTGGGGTCTGGCCACTAGATTCACACGCTGGGAGCTGTGATGCCACGACACTATTCAGGGCAACAGCTTAAGGCTCTGTCTCAAAAAAAATTTTAAATAAAAATAAAAATAAATAAAATAGGCTTGGTGCCTGTGGCTCAAGTGGCTAAGGCGCCAGCCACATACACCTAAGGTGGCGGGTTCGAATCCAGCCTGGGCCCGTCAAACAACAATGCCGGCTGCAATCAAAAAATAGCCTGGCGTTGTGGGGGGCACCTGTGGTCCCAGCTACTTGGGAGGCTGAGGCAGTAGACTTGCTTGAGCCCAGGAGTTGGAGGTTGCTATGAGCTGTAATGCTATGGCACTCCACCCAGGGCGACAGCTTGAGGCTCTGTCTCAAATAAATAAATAAATAAATAAAATAAAACTGGTTGGTCCTCCTAAAAAAAAATGCCAGTGTCAGCCAGCCATGGTGATTCATGCCTATAATCCTAGCACTCTGGGAAGCTCAGATGGGTGGATCTCTTGAGTTTGAGACCAGCCTGAGAAACAGACCCCATCTCTACTAAAAATAGAAAAATTAGCTGGGCGCTGTAAAGGGCTCCTGTAGTCCCAGCTTCTTGAGAGGCTGAGGCAGGAGTAGCTCTTAAGCCCAAGCAACTGAGATTGCTGTGAGCTATGATCACGTCATGGTACTCTACTCATGGTGACAGAATAAGACTATGTCTCAAAAACAAAAAAAAAAAATTCCACTGTCATGAATGACAAAGAAAAATCAAGGAACTATTCCAAATTAAGAGACTAAATAGACAACTACATGTAATGCATCCTGGACTGGAGTCTGGATCAAAAAAAAAATTATAAAGGAAATTATCTAAACAACTGGAGAAATTTAAATATAGACCGTATAGTAAATGACTATGCTTTCTAATTGTTAAATTTCCTAATTTTGGCCAGGCCCAGGGGCTCACACCTATAATCCTACCACTCTGGGAGGCTAAGGCAGGAGGATCAATTGAGGTCAGGAGTTTGAGACAAGCCCAACCAAGACCAAGACCTTTTCTCTACTAAAAATAGAAAAACTTAGCAAGGTGTGGTGGCACCCACCTGAGGTCCCAGCTACTCAGGAGACTGAGGCAGGAGGTGGGCTCGAGCCAGGGTAACAGAGAGAGATCTCGTCTTAAAAAAAAAAAAAAAAAAAAAACAACTCCTGGCCAGGCATGGTGGCTCATGCCTATAATCCCTAGCACACTGGGAGGCCAAGGAGGGTGTATCACCTGAGCTCAGCAGTTCAAGACCAGCCTAAGCAAAAGCAAGACTCCATCTTTAAAACACTAGCTGGGCAGCTCAGCACCCGTCGTAGCACAGTGGTTACAGCACCAGCCACATACACGCAGGCTGGTGGGTTTGAACCAGGCCTGGGCCAGCTAGCAACAATGACAACTAGGGCATTGTGGCGGGCACCTGTAGCCCCAGCTACTTGGGAGGCTGAGGCAAGAGAATTGCTTAAGCCCAAGAATTTGAGGTTGCTGTGAGCTATAACACAACAGCACTCTACTGAGGACAACATAGTGAAACTCTGTGGCAGATGTCTGTAGTCCCAGCTACTCAGGAGGCTGAGGCAAGAGGATCTCTTGAGCCCACGAGTTTCAGGCTGTTGTCAGCTATGGCGCCATAGTACTCTACTTAGGGTGATAGATACAGTAGGCCTCTGTCTCAAAAAAAAAAAAAAAATTCCTGACTTTGATCATAGTACAGTGATTATCCAAGGGAATAACTTTTTATTTGTTCTTAGGATATACGCACACTGACATACTTAGAATAAAGGACAACATTACCTGAAACAGTTGGGCATTAATCATTATGTAATATCAGTGTATGTGTTATTGTGTGTATAAAGGAGGAATGGGAGGAAGGGAGTGAGAAAAAAGATATGAAGCCAATGTAGCAAAAGCTATTAAAAATTGGTGACTCAGCTCAGCGCCTGTGGCTCAGGCGGCTAAGGCGCCAGCCACATACACCTAAGGTGGTGGGTCTGAATCCAGCCCGGGCC